CTGTTACTAAGAATAAATCCAATGAGTGAACTCTTCCTTTCCTTCCATTCTTAAGGAAAGTGAACCTTTTAATTTGTTTTGTTCATGGAAAAGTGGAGGTTACAAATAATTTTCTGAGAATCATTCCAGACTTCATCACAACTTTGTCTTCTTTTTCTTCCAATATTTTTCCTATATATTTAGTTATTTAATTCTCATTCTACCTTTTGTGTCATTCGTCCATGAAATTTGTGCTAAGCAACAAAGTTAGAATTCTAGACGTTCATAATTATATTGTAATATGTTTACTAAGGAGAGCATGCTTAGTAACTTTGCAATTCAGAAGGCATGATATCTCCAATATCAAACAGTAGGAAAACAGGAATGGGAAAGCACTATCATCAAGTGGGATGCTTCCGATTAAATCCTGCTGTTACATCAATGATACTAAAGGAAGGAAGGGATTGTCATGTAAAACATACTAGCACCTGGCCTGTACTACGGAGTTAGGAATGCATAAGCCCCATCTCTGAAAAAAAAAACACACCAGCAGAAACAGCATTCAGTAATTCACTCACTCACGAATTCAACAAAGGAGACCCAAGTCACCTGATGGTCATTATTCTGCAGAAACATAGCTAAATAATAGAGATTATCATCATAAATTTTAGATTCTTATTGGTGATTATTTTAAGAAAATGTGTAGTTGGGCTGTAGAGATGGCTCAGTGGTTAAGAGCATTGACTGTTTTTACAGAGGACCTGGGTTCAATTTCCAGTACCCACATGGTGTCTAAGAACCTTCCTTAACCCCAGTCTCCAGTTCCGGGGGAATCCAATGCCCTTGTCTGACCTCTGCAGCATTTCACATCATAAGTATACTCATATACATGCAGACAATATACTCACACACATAAAATAAAAATAATAAATATTTGTAAAAGAGAAAATGTTTAGTATATATTTTTAACTTAAAGATATTTATTGAGAATTTCATACATGTATATAAGGTGTTTTGATCAAATCCATGCCCACTCCCTCCCCTCCAACTCCTCCCATATCTCTCAATCACATTTTTCTGGCAACTTCATGTACTTTTTCTTTCTTTCTTCCTATTTTTGTTTTGTTTTGTTTTGTTTTGTTTTGCTACTCTAACAGTCTCCTCTCTGAAGAGGTAATTGTAAAATCTTTTAGGGATTAGATGAAAGCTCCCAAATACTTTTGATATTTTTGGCCTTTGGAAAAGAGTATGTTACCAAGAGGCCCAAGGACATTTTGACTTTTAGCCAAGAAAGTGGCTACTTTTCTTTGGAATCTTTTTACCCTAACTGCCTAGCCAATTCCTACCTCCTATTCTTATCACACCATCTTCTGAAGACGTCACCCAAATTGCCAATAGGGAATCAGGTTGCAGACTGTTCTGGCCTCTTCCATGCTGAACAGGGATGCAGGATGAGGCAATTGGGGTACCCCTTCAGTAGGTCTATCTGAAAGACTCCCAAATTGTGTAACTCTTATCTGTAGGGGGAAAAGAAAGTCCTTGACTGGTGACTTGGGGATATGAAGAAGTAAAGGCAACAATAATTAGCATAACAAGTTCTAAACAGGGAACCAAAAAAAAGTCAAAACAGCAAATTTCAAATGTTCATACTAGAGTCCATTGGAATTTCTTGACAAGAGCTTCCAAAAGCATCCCTCTATTGGGTTCCTCTTCATTTTCCTTTGGTCTGCCAAGGCTAGACATCTTCAAGAGTGATAGACTCAGGATTTGTTTTCAGGCACTTTGATAGCTGTTGGAGTGGCTAAAATCAGTGTCAGTTCCCTCTCAAAGGCTTCTAGATATGGGGGAGAAAACAAATTTAGCCATCATTTTGAACAATAATGAGTTGTCTCCCTTAGCTACAGGTGAGCACTACAGTATTTCAGACCAAGATTTGAGTCTTACATCTGAGCAGCACTTTCCACTTAGAAACAAAATGGTCAATGAGAAATAATTATCTAAATAATATTTTTTTGGTCTCTTTGAGACAGGGTTTCCTGTGGGAGACAGGCTTGAGCCTAGGGTGATATTGCAACTGTCAAGGTCACGTGGTTTCCAGGAATCCAGGCTCTGTAATCTGAAACCCAGTATGCTAATGAGGCATCCTACCCTCTATTCTGTGATAGGGCGTTAAGTCTGTTATGCTAATAGGATGCTAACAGACATTAAGTCTGTTATGCTAATAGGTATCCTACTTGCTGTACTGTGATAGGACACTAAACCTGCTATGCTAATAAGGAATCCTACTTGCTGTGCTGTGACTGGACCACTACCCCTATATAAGCTTGTGCCTTCCTGCAATAAAGCAGACCTATGTCACTGAACCTGGTCTCCTGTGTCTGAATGCGTCTCTGCTGACACAGTCTCCTCACCAGCCCTGGGGTCCGGGACCAAGCAGAAGCAGCGAGGACAGCAGGCAGCACAGGGCAAGCAGAAGAGCCGCCTCAGCCCAGGGCCAGAGGAGGAGCAGACTCGACGCCCGTGAGAACGAAGGAGCGGCACCTATGAGAAGGGAGAAGTGGCTGCCGCTGGCAGTGACCGCAGTCTCCCTATAGCCCCATCTGTCCTGGAACTCACTATGTAGACCAGGCTGGCCTTGAACTCACAAAGATCCTACTGCCTCTGCCTCCCAAGTGCCTAAATAATGTTTTATATGAACTTAAGCCTAATGTCTAGGAAGTGTAATCCCTTGAACTCTTAAAGAAATATACTGATCACTTTAATCTCTGATTATACTTTCCTTTTTGGTGTTTAAGACCATACAGTTGGCCCAAATAAACCAATTTATTTTTACTCTTAAAGGTCGTTTGAGGATCTGTTCCTCAGGGATTACACGTGCTTGGAAGGAGCCCCTGGCTCCTTTTTTTCACCAGTTCCATCTATGTGAAGATCAATCAAAGGTCCTGCTTGACCAAGACTGGCTTCACTTGGAAGCATGGAGGAAATGTTTCCTCTGAGGGTATAAACATTGTTTAGCATCCCCAAGAAAAGAATTCTCACAACAGATGGAAAATTTATTTGTTAATGTTATTATGTCTCATAATTATTAACAAAGAAAATGTGGATGTAAAAGAAGTTAAATGGATATGGAAATGAAGATATTTTCCAAAATAGAAAAAATGAGAAAGCCTAAGCAAGTGATGAAGGTCTGTGTAGGTTTGTTATGATATATAAAGGGTGAGACAAAAATAATATACACATAATCTTAAAATTTCTATGGTCATCGCTTAGTCAACTTGTTTAAGGAACAAAATATATGCCTAGTCAAGGTTTATCTGACAACATTTGTTTTTTGCCCAAACTTTATCTACATAGCACATGGTAATTAAAAGTACCAGACTGGTGGAACTAACCTTCTTTGATGTTTAACAGCCATATGTTGAGAGGGACTTGAAGGACAGTTTTTTGCTCCTTGCCTTCCAAGGTCAACTAAGTTCCAGGGGACTATGGAGCATCTCTCAAAATGACCTGTAACTGTGGTGAGTCACCTGTCCTCCTGTTCAGGGAGGACATGGATGATACCCCACTAGATGGACTTGAACCAGTGTACAGTCTACAAAGAAAATATGTAGTATATTTTTAAGATAATATGAATAGTTTATTGCTATTCCTAAGCATTTATTTTTTTCTTTTTTCCATTTTCTTTTCTTATTGTTTCTTGCTGTGGTTGTTACCTTGCCTCGAAATACAGGGTTTGAAATACAAATAGATATTTTGTTTTAGACAACATAGACAACTGATAATATGAGTTTTGAGTGTTGAGTGAGATACGATGGCGCATGATTTTAATCCTAGTATTTTGGAGATAGAAGCAAGAGAATCAACACAAGTTCAAGACAACCTTGTCCACATATGGGTTCAGATAAGCCAGGGCTGCATACTGAGACCCTGTTTAAAAAAAAAAAAAAAAAGAAAGAAAAGAAAAGAATTTAAGAGTTGTCTTGCATACTGTGTATCTACTCCAATGGAAAAATGCAAGACGGTGGTCCCAGCCTTGGCTGCTTTTATTTGATGCAGTAAAGATTCTTGGGTACTTTTCAAGAATGAAAACCCCTGCACCTACCCTGAATCTTCTGTTTGAGAATTCACAGATGTTAATGCTAAAAGATTTTTGTTTTTGTTTTTTATTTTTTATTTTTGGTTTGGTTTGGTTTTTAAGTTGTCTCAGAATTCAGACGCTACTTAGGGGCTTTTATTTCTAAGATATGAAGAGGAGAACATCACAACAGTTCAAGAGTTGGATTTTGAAAGTCACATGGACAAGAATGGAGAACACCTTCATATAATGTAAACAAGCACGAAGAACTAGTAAACAAATTCACCAGAGAATGAAAAGGGAATCTGAAAGACTGAAGTGGTAGGAAAACTTTGACAAATAGTTTCAATATTTGAAGACTTTTTTTCTTTCTGTTTGTTGTTTCTGAAACTTTGGAGACTTGTGACAGGACTGAAAGACAGAAAACCTGAATTTGGTCCTAGTTTTTCCATGACGAATACTTGCTTAGTCAAATTCCATCCCCTCAAACTTTATCTCCATTTGAGATGAAGTGTTTCCAGGTGCAGCTGAGGTCCTCATACTCTGAAGTATGCATCCACGTCTACTTGGCACCAGTTGAGGCCACCACAGAGCCCCCTTTCATATCAGAAAAGGGAAAGGAAAGGAACAGCATGTCAACTGCACAGTCTGAAGCACGTCACCGGGAATAGCAAGTAAACATAAACCAATCTGCCAAAAAGAATCCCACAAGTTCTAGAAATCTCTGCTGAAATCTCTAGGTTGTATCTGGAAATGTCAAAGGGAAGACATTCTTACCTCCAAACTGCTGAGGGGGCAGAGGGAGGACAAGCCTGTGTCTGAGGTCAAGTACATAAAGGCCATTCCAATTTGTTAATGGAATTTGCACTCTGAAGAGAAAGCAACTTGTTTTTGTAAGAAGCATTTCCAGAGGGCAGTGTCCTTTTGTTTCCACGCCCATGGAATGGCCTCAGGTTGGTCAGTGAAATATGGAAGGCTTGCTCAACCAAGTCTTCCAAACCTTATGGCAATGAGACTTCAGGAAAAAAACCTTTCAAAAAGGCCACAGAGATTACCAACCATATCTGCCAATGAGACATTTGACCAAATGGAAGCAAGGCTGCCAGAGCAGGCTCTGTACTGGCAAGTAAGAAAATACTGTGTTTCTGGCCACTGACTGTGAATACATCTACAAGCTGCTTTTTGGATGTCTGATCTGGCTCATTTAAAGGGCTTTGCAGGTGAGAGCCATTTCCACCTGGCTTCCCAAAGGAGTCAGGGCAGCTGGGGGTACTAACAACAGGCTTTTCATCACTGTCAGCAAACATCACTGGATAGACCAGTGTTCTGGCTCAGATTGGGTCTCCATTCCCATGAGAGGATTATTTTCCTTCTGTTGGCCTTAGTTTTCTCACCGTTAAGAAAAGGAGCTGAGTTAACTCTGATCCTTTGGGAATGTTACAAAGCAACTTTTGCATCATGTGGCTGCAAATTTCCTCTAGTCAGCAATATATATATATATGAAAGTGTGTGTGTGTGTGTGTGTGTGTGTGTGTGTGTGTGTGTTTTCACCTGTGTTGGTATAGCAAATTTGCAAAGAAGGAAACTAAGGCTCAGAGTCAGGCTCAGGATTTTTCTAGGTTCAGTTCAGTAAATTAGCATATTGCAAGGCATGGGAAATAGACTCAATTCTTCCCTTGAAGAGTGTCCAATTGGTGAAAGACACATGAAAAATAGAGTGCAATGTGGTAGCAACAACTAAGGAGTGAGCACTGCTGGATGGGACAGAAATGGTAAGGCAGAACTGGGGTGGCGACTCCTCCAGCAGTTGGCGAGGTGGACCATGAACATGAAAGAGAAGATTGACCAGCTGGAAACAAATTGCCTTGTATACAGATTATAGACTTCTCTCTAAAATATGAGAAGAAACTGGAGTAAGGAATAAGGGACTTTCCAAGGCAGAAGGCAAAACATAAGGCATGGCACTGGAAAAAAATAGCAGTGCAGACAGGGAGTGAATATTAGTCCCTCTAATTTAACACTGCCAGGTACACAGTGGAAGGAAACCAGATGGAGATGGATTCAATGGGGTCTGGCAAATATCCTCTGCAAATGCATCTTTGCCCATTAAAATGTCCTTCTTTTCATGGCATTTTATTTGAAATTTTGTTATAAAGTATTTAGATATGCAAGACCAACCGACAAGAAATAAATAGTGATGCCTGTACAACTACCATCCAATTGAATTATAAAACATCCACAACAGAGCTAAAGGTCCTTGCACCTGAGCACACACAGGATTGGAATCACATCCATTTACGTTCTTAGGAAAGGGGCATGGCATTAGAAATTTACTTTATTAATTTTTATGTTGCAAAATAAAATTCTTGCATGCATTACACATGACTGTCCCTGAGCTCAGGACATTCCTTCTCTGTACCAGGCTTTGGGGCACACCAAATCTTAGTCAAATGCCAATTTGTCAGCTAATAGTGAGAATTCCAGGCAGTCTGATCAACTTATTCCTTCCCAGTGGCTAGTTTCCTCATGAAATGTCAAATTGCAGTCAGATGTTTTCTTGGGAATACTGGAATCAAATGAATCAGAAATTAGAACACAAATTTAGTCTGATTCCTTCCATTCTTCTCTCCTTTTCCTTCTTCCTTCCTTCCTTCCCTTCTTCCTCCCTTCCTCACTTTCTTCCTTCCTCCTTTCCTTTATTCCTTCCTTGATTTCTTTTTTCCTTCCTGACTTCCCTCTCCCTTCAGTTGCCAGATACCTTGTAGAATACCTAGACTAATTTGCTTTCAGATAAACAAAAGAATTAGTGGATGTCTCAAATATTGTACAAGATATAGTATAAGAAAGTATCCACTGTTCATCTGAAAATCAAACTTAACTGGGAATTCTATATGTTTATTTTGATAATCCCAAGGATCCTACAATCTTCCCCTCTTTTCATAAATATTCACTGAGAAAAACCTCAGTTCTAGGAAAGGGGACATGCTTTATGTTTCTTGTCTATTCAGTATATTTTGATCTCTCAAAGAATCAATCTTAACATCGTGAATTCTGTTTATAATGGTAAAATGGAAATAATTCAATTTCTCAGGCCCCTTTATTACTAGCTACAATTATGCTGATGAATGAGTCATTCACCTTGAACTCCGCTGTGAATATCAGCAGCCACAGAAGGGCACACCATTCAGAACCACTTTGTTTGGCAAGAGTGGTCTCAGGGGTTCCAGTTTTGTTGACCGTGGCATTTTATTATTTTATTATCATTTTCTTTAAATTGTGTGTGTGTGTGTGTGTGTGTGTGTGTGTGTGTGTGTGTGTGTGTGTACCATGTGAGTGCTGCTGATGCCTGCACTAGAGGGTGTGAGATTCCAGAAACTAGAGTTCCAGGCAGTTGTTAGCTGCTATGTGGCTGCTGGGAACCAAGCCTAGATCCTATACATGACCAGTCATTGCTCGTAAGTGTTGAGCCTTCTCTCCAGCCTGGAAATGGTAATTTTGAGGTCAAGTTCAGATGGTTTTCTCTGTAAATTACACAGCAAGAGGGACAGGGGAGTCACCACCCAGCACAACAGCAGGGACATGGGAGTCACCACCCAACACAGATGCAGGGACAGGGGAGTCACCACTCAGCACAGCAGCAGAGATGGGGAGTCACCACTCAACACAGCCGCAGGGACAGGAGAGTCACCACCCAACACAGATGCAGGCACAGGGGAATCACCACCCAGCACAGCGGCAGGGACAGGTGAGTCACCAGCCCTCTTCAGCACCATGGCTTAAGCATGTCTCTAGAAGCTCAGGCCTGAACATAACTTTATAGAACCCTTATTTCTAAAAATACTGTGTGGAATAACCTCCTCTTCTGTTATCAGGGTTTCATCTGCTTAATCATCCATAAGTAACAATGATCAGAACTAACTTCAATACCAGTGGAGTCCTCAGCAGTATCTCTGAGGAAGTGGCACCAGAGAGTAGGTCTTCGTTATGGGAGTGACTCTAGATATAATGACTAGACTTCGCTGAATGTCCTTTTTTGTTTGTTTATTTACAGTAACCAAGTTGAGAACACTCAGACCGGCATCCATAATGCAATCATGAACTTGTGGTTTCTAACTCCAGTTCTTCTTGGTTCATAACAAGAATGGCCCTTACTCAGTAGCTGCCACACTCTGCCATAAGTCAAGATGCCATACTTCATGGGAAAATATCTCGCTGTTCATTCCCACCACTGACTTAGACTATATAACCCTTCCACTCTTCGCCCAGGGCATCAGCAGCAATTTTGGCCCTGTGCTTTTCATTGTAAGTACAAACCACGCATTCATCAACCACTTTAGTGAGTTTCTGACAGCTGGGTAGCTATCTAAAGGAGATACTCAGCTTCATATGGATACCATGCACAATCTAGGAGTTACTTTTTTTAAAAGCTCACTCATTTGGTTTCTCAATTCTTTGTTTTTTGAGTTCTTTATATATTCTGAATGTTAAACCTCTGTCAGATGTGTCACTGGTGAAGATTTTTTTTCCCCACTCCGTGGGTTTTTACTTCACTTTTTTGATTGTTTCTTTTGTTGTACAGAAGCTCTTTAGTTTAATGAGGTCCCACTTATTGATTGCTGACCTTAATTCCTGAGCAACTTCTGTCTGATTTAGAAAATCCTTTCCTACACCTATATCTTGTAAGTTACTGCCAATATTTTCTTCTAATAGTTTCAGGGTTTCCAGTTTCACCTAGAGGTCTTTGATCCATTTGGTGTTGACTTTGTGCAAGGCAAAAGATAAGGATCTAGTTTCATTCTTCTACAGGTGGAGATCCAGTTTTGCCAGCACCATTTGTTGAAGATGCTGTCTTTCCTCCATTGTGTGTTCTTGGCACCTTTGTCAAGACTCAACTAAAAGATGGGCTAAAGTTATAAACAGAGACTTCTCAAAGGAAGAAATTAAAATGGCTATGAAACATCTCACCTCCCTACTTTTATGCTGGGATTCTGTCCAGCTTGAGTTTATGTGAGACTTGTACATGCTGTCACCATTTCTATGTGTTTGTATAAGATATCTACCTGAAAAATTATGTTTCCTTGAAGTCATTCATGACCTCTGGCTCTTACAATTTTTCTACCCTCTCTTCCATAATGATGCCTGAGCCTCAGGATGCAGAAGTTTGATATAGTGGTCCTACTCAGAAACAGCAGTCCCTTATGCTCTGTACTCTGACCAATTGTGGGTATCTATGTTAGTCATTATTTACTGAGTAAGGAAGCTTCTCTGTGAGAACTGAGAGATGCATTAATCTATGGGTATAACAATATGTCATTAGAAGTTGCTTTAATACTGTATTTAGCAGAATAATCTCCCAATGGCCTGTGACCTGTCTAGTCACAGGTTCCTAGGCTTGATATCAGTGTCAGGTATCAGTTCCATCTTGTGAAACAGATATTAAATCCAATCAAACAGTGGTTGGTTTCTCCCATAACATTCATGCCACTATTGCACCAGCGAGCATATCTTGCCAGCCCAGTTGTTTTATTAGCTTGCAGGATTCACAACTGGGCAAGGCTGATGACTACTCTTCTTTCTCAGTAGCATGGACAACATCTTACAGCACTATGAAAGCTAGCCAGTAGAGACGAAGCTTTGAGGTCAATAGAAGCTTGATTTTGCCTTGCTTGTTTAACAATTCATGGACATAGTGTATTCAAGAAATAAGATCTTACCCTCAAGTTCTGGTGGGTAATCAACAATGGGGGCATGTGATTTTTTTTTCTATAGGCCTTTAATTGTTAGTTATCCATCCCCATACTCCCTCTTCTGTCCTGCCCTCCCATTTCCTACCTCCTTATCCCTTTCCACTCCATTATTCCCCTTTCCCTTCATATCATTGCATTCTATCTTTCAAAGCAAAAATAAATAAATAAATAAATAGATAATCAAAAGAAAGCAAAAGTAGATTATTACCCACTGTACTAGCTGCATTTCTACGCAATTTTAATCTTGTTATTCATTAAGGATAGAATGTCTACAGCCAGAAGTTCCTCCTTGATGGACTAGCTGTAACCAGTTGTACTAAGATGACTGCCAAAGTGACCACAGATAACTTCTAACTTTATTATCATCTAATTTCCATACTAAATAGCACACCCACCAATCAACTGCCATGACAGGAAACACCAGATCACAAAAGGGCTAATGGGGTAATGCCTGAGTTCCAGGAAATAAAGACATGAACACCTCATCCCTATTAATTAGCCTAACCCTTGTTTCATTTCTTTTACCCAAAATCTGCGACTACTCTAAACCAGATGGACCGAGAAGAGGAGTTTATCTGTGAGCCTAGATGCCTCATTCACCATTCTCTGGCCACCAAATAAATGAGCTGTTCTTGGCACTCAGTATCTTCTTTGCTTCCTGGCTTTGCAACTCTGAAGCAGAAAGATCCCTTTGTGGGCAACTGTCCCGTACTAGCGGAATCTCTCCCCAAGTTTGTGGAGAAGAGAAGCTGGAAGACACATTCAGTTGTCTAAGCCAGAGAGTGAGCTATGCTGAGAGAGTTAGATAGGCAGAGCAGAGAAAATTAGTGTTTGATTTTGGAGATATGACTGACAGCTCTAAGATGTCCTTCTGACATGAAAGAATGGCTTCCCAGCGGCAGAAGATCAAGGTCTATAAGCAAAAGCGACACATTGGTCAAGGATTTACCCAATGACTAAGTGTCCCAGACTCACACACCAGATGTGTGTATACCCCAAACTATGATAGATTTCCAATCTTATAATTCCCATGGAGAAGAAAATCTGTTTTTTGAGTCTCAGACGCTCTCCCCTTAAGCTTCTTGTTTAGCTGATTTATAAATGTTTGGGTTTTATTTGCATCAAATAAATTGTTTCCACCAGCGAGTTGATGATTCAGGCTGGGTGGGAAGCCCCTTCTGTCTTAAGGCCTTGTTCTTGCTAATTTACCACGAAGCCTTTATGGCCTTAGGAATCCCTTTATTTATCTCTTAGTTAACTATAGTAGTACTATCTTGAGCCACTAAAAATGTTGTGTCAAACTGAAATGAAAGTGTCATTTTTCAATGTAACATGATTTTATTGGATAACTATGAATGGAAACCCAGAAACTGTGTAAACTGATAAATGTGAAGAGTAGTTACAGGGTGGGAACATATACCTCACTTTTCTCAAGGACAAGGATGTTTTCAAGGAGTTTTTAGGTTATCATAGTACCTGGGTGGTGAAATACAAAGTGGATATTAAACAGAAAAATAAAAGACCTCATGGTTAGGAATAATTAAAAAATTAAGTAAAATCAAATAGCAAAAGGTAGAGTAACTTACATAATATTTTGTCTCCTGCCCCTCTCTTTGCTTTACACTGTAGGTTTTGGGTAAGGTTGTCTTAGCTCTTGGTCATGAGAGAATTCCATCCTACCATCCACGGTCAAGGGTACAATATGTTCTGGTAGGATTAAGGAGAGTCCTGCCATACCTTGAAATTTTGTTAAAGAAACATTCTTGCCACTGAGACTGTTGGATATCGAAGCATGAATTCAGTATTAAAAGCCCATGTGGTAGAGCAGCCAGCAAATATTGGGTGTACAGTTAGACGAAAGGAGCCTAGATAACAAAACAAACAGCAGGTCAAAGCTCGCATATATGCAGCTTTACTGATTCAGTCTCTTACATTATCCTGTTACCACTTATGTGACCATAGAAGTAGCATCAGAAAGCAGAATAAGAGAAAGAGAGCCTAATCTCTGCTTAGGTTAGGTCCAATCACAACAAAGTTAAATGTCCATTTCTTCATTGTATTTATTTAGTTGTATTAGCCAACTGTTTTGTGAGTTCTATTTTAATCTTAATTATCTTAATTAGGTGGAAGAAATAACACCTTCCAAACACTTGTGAGACTAATAATTTATGGTACTTTGGTATGTGGGTTATTGTGAGTGGAAGAAAATTGAGAAATGGCAGATATAAGTTCAGACATCTCTTATTAGCCTAAAAATAAGATAACTGTGTTAAGCCATCCTCTGTGTACCAGGAAGGGTGGTAGTTAATCACAGGAGACAATTCTGAATGATTACCAGCATAGGCTGTAGCAGCTAGCTGGAGACTCTCCATCACAAACCTTACGTCTAGCTCTTCCATTTATTTCCCATATCTGAAACCTCATAGTTTGTCACTGACAAGACTGAGAATTCTTTTCTTCTGCCTTCAATTACCTACATTATTATTGTACTTGATAAGACGCTAGATAATATAAGATCTGGCTATCTTTCTGAGTTTCACGCAATTAAGTAATCTTGTCTAAACATTCAATGCATATATTAATAAATTTCTGTCTTTTGTCTGCCTAGTTTTCAGGAGCATACTCAATGAACTTATAATGTAGAGGAAAGTGTTACTTGCTACTGTTCTGTGATTGTTCTTGCTTTAATTCTTGCAAATGCTGTGCTCTATACTGACCCTGATAAACACTATTACATAAGTTCCCATTCATCTTTTTAGAAAAACTTCGAAGCATTATCCCGTTACAGGGAAGACAGCTGAAATCAAAAAAGGTAATAGCCACCAAAGTTATCTTGTGATTAAGCAAGAACCTGGGCTTACACCCGAGATACATCCTAAAAGTTTCAACCTTCTTATACTATCTTTTTCAAATCCAAAATTATTTCCATGTCTTTTGCGTAAGGTATTTTTGATAATCTTAAACTGTTACTAACTTCCACAGATTAAGTCTTCCTGTGTCTCCCAGTTGCTTCTCCATGCCTAAACTCAAAACAAGTCGTTAGCTGGGTCCATGCGAAGTACTTAGAACCCAGTCTGTCCTCCTATTTTGTTCTCTGTTCAGCATCCAGAAGCTTGTTGACTTCCCTCTTACTAATTTGTTTTCCAGTGTCATTCTACTATTTATTTTGTTTTACTGCAAGGTCTTCAAGGACAAGAATTTGGTTTATTTTTTCTCACTGCAAAATATTCATTGCTTAACAATGTCTGATGCTTAGCCATGTAGTGTTTCCATTCATTCTTCCATTTCTAAATATCCCTGTAAACTAAACTGGGCCAAACACTTAGGTCTAGATGATGTCTCTCCCTAAACTATGACTTTATTATCCATTAATTTAGTTTTTTACATGGAAATATAATCAATATTCAGATTGAATAAATCAAAAACCAAATTCTTAGTTGTCCTAGTCTTTTTTCTTTTTTTGCTGCTATTACAGAATATCAGATACTGAGTAACTTATGAAGAAAGTAATTTTGTTTTTCCAAATTTTGAAGCCTGGGAAGTTCAAGGTTAGTATATGGTAAGAAACTTCATGCTGTAGTTTCCCATAAGAGAAGGCTGCAGAAAAAGCTTACACGAGAGACAGCAAGAGACGACTGAACTCACTTCCTAACAAACTCACTCTCACAAAACAAACTCATGTCTACTCACATATGCTATGTCCTAGGTACACTGAAATATTATGGTGAACACAACATTGTTTCTGTCTTCATAATTCATTTAGAAACCTTGGTTGACATATATATCCCTTTTCTCTTGGATGGAAAGAGTAGCCTTTGTAGAACTCCTGCAACACCCCAATTTTCCATAGACCTTGGGGGCACTTACCATATAACTCTACTCTGATTTTTCTGATGCTAGGAAATCACTAACCTGAAAATCTCAAATCCCTTGGGGCAGAAGTCAAACATTTATAGGCACTGAATTTCTAAGCCTGGCATTGACCAGATCTGTCCACAATTTATTGCCAACACATTTTTCACGATAAAACACTATGCCCATCTCATTAACAGCTTTGATCCATTTTTGAAGGAAGAAATCATCAACCTTTAAATGCCCTTCTTCTCAACACAGTTACAAAAAGCATTAAGTTTTCAACATCTGAATTTTGGGGTACATATTAAACTACAACACTTATCTTCTCCCAGAACCTGCTCCCAGCTTCTTCACACAGTTTTTACTTGGGACTCAATGATAACCCCATCTTATTTGCTTTTTTTTTTTTCAAATCATTCTGAGTCCTATGCCTTCTTCTATACCACTTCTAACTGATAAGCAATCTCGTTAGGACTCACTACGTCTCCAGATACCCACTGTCCTGATGATAACCTAGCCCATACCTCTCTAGTGGGTAGTCTCCTAGCTACACTCTCTGCTTCAGCTTTTGCCCAATTTCGGTGACTGGGAATCCTAAATCAAAAGCCAAATCATTTGAATCTCTGTTCAGAAAAAAATCCTGAGACTTCTCTTCTGACTCAGGTAAAGTTAAAGCCCACAGCATGCCACCAGCTCCACAGTGTCTAACTAGACCTCCTCTCTAGCTCCAGGGTCTCCTTAGTATCTCAGTCACAATGGACATTACCTCACTTCTAGCCCTTTGCCTTGACTTGCAATTCTGCTTAAGATGTTCCTCTCCTGAATATCCGTATGGTTTCTTTCCTCACCTCCTTTTCTTCACCCAAATGACACCTTCTTAGGAATGTTTCATCTCTTCACTTATCTAAAATCACCACCTGCTCCATCAAGAAAGAGTCCTCTGTCTTTAATAATAATAATGATAATAATAATAATAATAATAATAATTTTCCTGATAGATCACCAGTGCCTGTTAGTTTTCAATAAATATGTTTCAAAAAAAACTAGATGTATGAAACATATTTGAAGAGATCATGTTCCATATACATATAAAATTCCCACCTAATCTTCGATGGCTCTCATTGCTTTAGAAAAAGGTTAAAATTCTTCAGCATGCAGAGTCCTCCAGAGCTTCATCTCTTCAGAGCCCCCTTGCTGCCTCTCCCTGGATATCTGTGTTCACATGCATGTTCTGCATGCTCTGAGTCTGCAAAGCCCATTCACATGCCTTTCTTTATCCCATTCACTTTGTGGAAAGGGTGATCTTTCTTCTCCTTTCCCTGAGAATACTTATTGTGCCCCCTTAATCACTTTACTGTGATTTTCTGAATCTAACAAATTCTTATCATGAGGCTCTGATGTTCCCAGGAACAGAAGCCATACTTTTATATCTACCATATCAATAAGCCTGACAATGGCCAACTCTGCTTCGTCTTACTAATATATTTTTATTAGACAGTATATCCATCTTATCATACCTAGAATACTCACCTTTCCCCATGTCCAGATCTTGGCTACTTTTTTCTATATCAAATGAGAGTTTTAACAGCTTTTCTTAAAGCACATTTCTATCCTTTCAAGTAAAGAAAAAAAATCCAAAATTTTAAGAAACATTAAAAATTTTAGTTTTCATATATATCTTTCATTTCTGATTGAAAAGTTGAGACGGTATACATATTAAAAGACATTTTCATGGGAATCATTTATTTGAGTTGTCATGGTTTTATGTAGAAGAACTTAATAAAACATAAGACAATGTTAGGCTGACCAGGGACAATGTTAAGCTGACCATCAACAGACATCAGGCAATAGGCAAATAATATTAACTGGCTTGGGTCAGATGGGTCTTGAGAAGTGATTATCCTTTATTCCTGGAAAAGATTCTCTTTGTTCCTGGTCTCATTTCTTCCCTTAAACCCTTTGATCTGTGATCACCCTTAGGAGTTTGGCACATTGAGATACCATCTCAGATCACACACTGATGAGGAAATACAAGTGGAAGTTGGGCACCTGGAGATGACTGAGAGGATGATACTCTCCAGGCCTTCTGGGGAGATTAAATGGCTTTCCCTGGAGGGGACTCTGTTGGCCTCTAATGTTGCATCAATCAAAGGGAGGGGGTGGCAGAGGAAGATGTCAAGGAGACAGCGTCACTAGTCAGACAGTACAGTTCTGCTCTGGAAATCCTGTCAGCCCAACCTTTTCCCATTAGATCTTTTACTTTTCTGTAGACTATAATCCTCTGAGGGAATCACGAGTATACCAAAATAATTGATTATGATCATGGAGAAAAGGTTCTAAGTGGGCCTCTTTCTTCCCCAGTTTCTCTGAGTCTTGTATTATTCCATGTCAGTCTTTGAGACTCGTGCATATGGCTGGGCCATCACAACACGTGGGTCTAAAACAGTCTTCCAGCTGACATTTCCAGTCATTATTTCCAAGTTGGTGATGTGTTGAAATGTCTCCATGGGATTTCTGTTTGCAATTTGTCCTTAGAAATGCATGAAAATTGTTCAGTTACACTCAAAATTCAAAGACCAGGTCTGGTCCATTCTCTGATCTTAGTTTTGATCTTTTTTCTTGATAAATCAGATTTAATTAAAAAAAATTAAGAGCTGTTCTTTGAAAGACAGGAGAAAATAATTAGAAATCACACAACCAATAAAAGATACATACACTTAATATAAAATGAAATGTCAACAATAATAAAAAAGAACAAAATAGTTCTCAACAAAAAATGTTATTGAGTAGCAAATAACTATGAAAAGATGTTCAAAATCATTAGTTCCAAGGAAAATATAATATACAGCCTTGATCTGATATGACCAGATACCTACTGAGATAATCAGAATCGCAAGGACTACTAATCACTGATGAAAATATGGAGCAGCTAAAAACGTATGGAGTTTGGAGTTCCCTTATGCTTTGAAGAAATTGCCACAGGATGGAGACTCTAAAACCCTATGATTTCTCAAATGATTTTGCCTCCATGACATATTTTCCATATATTTACATTTGAGAATATAAAATAAAATCACTATTAGAAAGCTATATGTGATTTGGGAATAATAACTAATTCAATTAATTGTGGATATTAGATGCCAAATGTTTTGCTTTCCCTTATCCTACAGTTAATATATATAAATATATATTTACATATATATGTGTATATAGGTCTTTTTGAGACAGGGTCTCACTGTAGCCCCAGCCGACTTAGAACTCACTATATAGACCAGGCTGACCTTGAACTCACAGAGGTCTGCCTGCCTCTTCCTCCAGTGTGCTGGGATTAAAGGTTTGCACCACCACGCCCAGCTTTAAATATCTTAAACCAGAGTTCCCAAGAGTTCCCAAACTCTCCATTCTTAGAAAAGATTTCCCTTTTATATTCAAATAAGTTAATCTAAGCCCTGATACTGACTACACAGAAAGAGTCTCCTGTCTGTCATGTATTTCTGAGAACCTGGTGGGACCAGGGTTCTGGCTGTAGTTCCAGCTCTGGTTGAATGACAGAGCACCACAGGACCAGACCTTCCAGTGCTCCTAGGATGTGGTTATATGTCCTACAAGTGTATCTTGGCTAGGATTCTCATTTCCTTCCAAGTCAGAGCTCTTGACTCCTCTGCCACTACATCTAACCATTCTTCCACCAGCCCACTCAGCTGATTCTGCTTTTTCTTTACTGCCAAGGATGAAGAGATCCATGTTGTTATGTCTCCTTGGTTATGGCTGGGCTGAGACACTCTTTTTTTATTTAATAACCACATGATTAGAAGAAGCATTTCATTACAGCT